CAGACAGATGTACAGACAGACAGACGTGCAGACAGACAGACAAATGTGCAGACAGACAGATGCGCAGACAGGCAGATGTGCAGACAGACAGATGCGCAGACAGACAGATGTACAGACAGACAGATGTGCAGACAGACAGATGTGCAGACAGACAGAAGCGCAGACAGACAGATGCGCAGACAGACAGATGCGCAGACAGACAGATGTGCAGACAGACAGATGTGCAGACAGACAGATGTGCAGACAGACAGATATGCAGACAGACAGATGTGCAGACAGACAGATGTGCAGACAGACAGATATGCAGACAGACAGATGTGCAGACAGACAGATGTGCAGACAGACAGATGTGCAGACAGACAGATGTGCAGACAGACAAATGCGCAGACAGACAGACAGATGCGCAGACAGACAGACAGATGTGCAGACAGACAGACAGATGTGCAGACAGACAGATGCGCAGACAGACAGACAGATGTGCAGACAGACAGAGAGATGTGCAGACAGACAGACAGACAGATGTGCAGACAGACAGATGTGCAGACAGACAGCCAGATGTGCAGACAGACAGACATATGTGCAGACAGACAGATGTGCAGACAGACAGATGTGCAGACAGACAGATGTGCAGACAGACAGATGCGCAGACAGACAGATGTGCAGACAGACAGATGTGCAGACAGACAGATGTGCAGACAGACAGATGTGCAGACAGACAGATGTACAGACAGACAGACAGATGTGCAGACAGACAGACAGATGTGCAGACAGACAGAGATTAAACATGATTACCTTGATCCAGCTCCTGATACATAACATACCCATACCCCAACGATTTCCCACTCTCTTTGTCTCTACACAACTGCCAACAAGTCAATTACAAAGCCAATATCAGTCAATAAATAAATCAGTCAAACAGTCAGCCAGTCTGTCAGTCTGTATTTTTGTACATCTACCAGCATATTTGTCATTATAGGGGAGTCGCCGTGGCGTAGCGGCTAGACGCTCGCGTGTGGTTCGGAAAGTCGCGGGTTCGCTCCCTGGCGAAGCCAGACTTTTCTCAAAAATGACCTTGACTCCCAGGTAGACCCAGCCTTGAGTGGGTCTAAAAAAAAAATAGGTTTAGCCCTAAACGCCTACAGGCGTGGAAAAGGGACCTTAACTACATTACTTATTTGTCTGTATATCTTGCTATCAATCCAACAATCTATCTGTCTGGCCACCCATCCTTCAATTTACGTGTCTTATACAACCTAATGCAATTTTCATGGTTTTTTTCCCCCCTTAAAGTCGGGGCTGACTTTCTCTTCTGGCAGTACAAAGCGGGAAACAGTTACAGCATATTTTATGTTAGATATCATTTTTGAAGTGCTACAGTAAAGGGTGCTTAGCGTTGAGTACCGGCACTTTTTTTTTTTTTAAATCTAGCAAAAAGGCTCGTCTTTATGTTAAGACTGTTTAAATGATAATAATAAGAGCAATAGCAGCAACAGCAACAACAACGACAGCAATACTATCAACAACAACATCTATTATTTTAAACAAGACAATGTTGAGATTCGTGACCCGTACATCATTAAATATCATTGCCATGCATTTTGTTAAGAGCCCCATTAATGTACAAGTGAAAGTCTTTTCCAAGTCTTCATGCGTAATGGGCATATAGGGCTAGATCTATATTTGTATAGACCAAGCGGCACTAGATGGGTGAAACGGTCAAATCACGGCGGCCACATTTACTTCCCAAGATATTACCAAGTATAAATTCAAGGCTGGGTTGATCTGGGGACCAGGGTCTTTCAAAGAAAAAAAAAAGAAGTCCGACTTCGTATTGGCCTGAACTAAAGACCTTCGCGTCCGCAGGCTAGCTTCTAGCTGCTACACCACTGTGGCTCCCTGTACTGAGAACACAAGCCGAGGTACCGTTTCTGCTACAGCGAAACCACTGGCTCGAGGTTAGAATGACTGGACGGGACAAAAAGATACCGTGTAAAGAACAGTCAACAAACTCAGAGTGCGTTCACTGGAATAGACTAACACACGAAGTTGGAGAGAATCAGGCTGAACGGCGAGGTACCAAGAGTCTCCATACCCAAACAGCCTGATCTGTAAAACGAATATGTCTTGTCTTGTCTTGTCCACAATTGCCTCACAGCGTAGTGGGGAGTCGCAGTTTTCTATCCTGGGCCAGGTGTGTTGCACGTGTTGTTGTAAGTCCGTGTTGCCTCAGGATCTCTGATATATTGTCTATCCATCGTACTCTCGGTCTGCCTCTTGCTCTAGGGCAGTAGTGCTGTTCGTTGTATGCTCGTAGAGGCAGTTGGTCGGTTTGCATTCGCATCAAGTGGCCAAACCACTCTATTTGTTGCTTCTTTATGTATTGCAGGCATGGTGTGGTTCCTACAATTGCTCTAATGTTCTCGTTTCGAACTCTGTCTCTCCTTGTGACATTGGCAGCCTTACGTAAGCATCTCATTTCGCACGTCGTGATCTTTTTCTCCTGTGCTCTTGTTAGGGACCAGGTTTGGCATTGGTAGCAGAGGGTTGGTATAAACATGCAATTTATCAGTTGTCGTTTTAGTGCCATAGTGATGCTTGGGTGTTTTAGCAGTGTGGAATATGTCATAAAAACGAAAACAAAATCAAGTTTTGGGACAAGACTGAAGTCTAGATGTGGACGAACAACTATACATTTCCGCTGTAATTTACAGCCAGTGAACGTGAAGTACGAAAAGAAGGAAGAAATTTACCTTGACGGAAGAAACGGTTCCTAGCTGCGAGAATTGTGTATACAGGTCTGCCTCTGTGACGTCACTAGGAAGATCCCCCACAAACACCGACGCCATTGCAGCGGTAGCTATTGCTAAGCAACGGCATGGGCTGCTCGGCAACGGATCAAACAGAAATATAGTCTCAGTGTGTTTTCAATCTCAGGTAACTCTTCCAGTCCTAACCAAATTTTCTTCGGAGTTGAAACTCTTCTGTAGCTGCTGAAGATGGTGACGGAGTGCTTATGGGAATGTCCCAAGTGCAATGATGTCGGTTCTTAAAACTCAGCACAACTCAAATTTATCACTGCAACTTCATCAGTCAAAATGAGCTGTGCATAAAACAGTATAAACTCAACTCAGTAAAGGAGGTAAATATCCAAATGAGGTGAATGTCATTGTCTTGAAAAACATTGCAACAGATTGGGAGGAGAATAGATATAAATGGGTAAGAAGAACATGAAGTGTATCTCAACTTTACCAAACTACACATAAGCAAACAGAGTACGTTGCCTGCTCTGTTTGTTTCTTGTCGCTTTTCTGCTGATGAAGATTAATTTCGCAGCGCCCTCTATTTATTTAAGTAGTTTTGTAAATCTGACATGCTGTATGTGTTTCTTTTCCTGATATATTTTCTCCCTCTTATCTTTTCTGATCTTCTAGGCTAAAGTAGGTAAACAGAGACACTGGTAAACGTGTACTTAAACTAACCGTTCGGATTACAAAAATGTTTATTTGTCATAGTTAGTTGCGTCTCCTTGACAGAACGTTGCAGAACCAACCCCAGCGTTTATTTGCTGGTGTGGTTTCTCTAGGCAAATTTACTTTCATTAGTTTGCCATTGCCTATAAACGGACAGCTATGGATATCACTGTCGAAAGTAACGCAAAATGTATATTTCCAAATCGCCAGTAGCTGGGATCGAACCCGGCACCCCAGATTTCAAAGTGCGTTAGCAACGCCTTTGCCATAGTCGCCGACATTAGCGATGGGAGACAACAAAATCTAAGACTAGTTTTGAATGACCAAGAAAGGTAGAGTAAGTTTTCTGCTTCTGAAAGAGTCGAACAGTTTTAAAGGGGATACAATCGACTACACGGCCCCAGATCCATAGCAGATGATCTAGAGGTCTCCGCATGGTTACTAACTGTTACTGCTGAAAACGTCGCACAAAATTTAAAAAAAAAAAACTTCGCATCTCCAGCAAAATCTTTAAGTATATCAGAAAAAGTATAAATGAGCTAAACACAGCCAAGTATATGTTTAGATTTTCGTTTTTTACATATTGAGTGTCACGGCAACACTTATTTTGAAAAACTACAATAAGCTTAAATAGCGCTGTATTTTGATTTGGGTGATGACAAACAGTAAAAAAAATAAAAAATAAAAGTAGAGAAGGGGAACAACCGTACGAACAAACTTTATTTTCAAAGGGTTACAAATTGGACACGCAGGCCCGTCTATCATTTGGCTCTTCTAGGCACTCATCTTTCAGAGTACCAATGCCTGTTATCAATAATGCATGTTTTGTATAAAAAAAAAATATACATTATATAAAAATGCATACACACATCAGGTATACACAATCTTACATACTCAAAAACACACACACACACACACACACACACACACACACCACACACACACACGTACACATACTCTTACATTCCCACCCACACATACACATACATACTCATATACAGATATACGTAGTAGGAACTTTAGTAATCTACAACCCTGGTCACGCAGCAATAATAGCTGATGTTCTATCTACATTAGCATCCGTTGTTGAGGGAACTGAAAATGGATAGTGGAGATTGCTTGAGAAATATATAATACCTTGGTGAATGAACATTGAGGATGATGATGTAACAGCAATTTTACGATGGCTGGAGGGTTGTAGGGGCCAGAAATGATGTATTTATCAGGGTCTCACAAGGAGAAAAAAGGAGATGCTGGCACAGTCTGGCAGAGCTTAGGTTGTGCTTATGTAGCGGATTTGATTGCTACCAGGAAAGTGAGGCTGGCCGGGTAGTTTCATCGCTAAGCTTTCATGTCGGAAACAGAGTTTGGATTTTTCGGTGAGATGATGATACATATTTTCTGTTGGGGTCATGAACAAACTTTATAACTGGCACAGTTCTTGGCGATTGCACTGTCCTTGCGGCCGTAAATCTTCAGACTGACAGACACTGCCCAACCTTCCCCTTCCCCCGAATCCCACCCCGCCCTTCACCACACCTAAAATGTATGTTGTACACACGGGCTGTCCATGTCAGGTCTTGGTCAGATATGACTGAGCTCCCGTATAACAGTAGCCGGTTGGGAAGAGGGGGGGGGGGGGTTGAGGAAATAGGGCTAGTTTTGCATGTTATAGGGTCGTTAAAAAAGCTCACGTCCTGTAATATAAATCACTCGTGGTCGCCAGTAAGATCGTTGACACAATACAACCTGGTGCACCAAGCTGACACCCCTGCCGCTTAAACTTGCGCGTCTCAAAGATTAAGACGCATCACACTATTTCCTGTCCAATCACAGTGTCCTGGCCCGACTTCGTCAATAATAAGTGGGTAGCTGGGCCCCAGTTCTTATATATTCCTTACGTCCTTCTTAGGACGTAACTTTTTGTTATTTGAAGCCCCACTCTGGCTTTTGCCAGGGGCCGCAATATAGGCAGGCCATCAATATGGCCAATTGTCTGAACGCGGTTTCTGGGACCTCTCCACGGTGATCCTCATCCGCATGGTGGCACTTTGTGTCATCGGGTGTTTATCGCTTGTGTGATGTCCTGGTGGGGTAGAAAGTCAGTCAGCCCGAGTTCTTGCATGTTCCGAAAATATAATTGGAGTGGGAAAATGAAAAAGTGAAGGATCTTTTCATGTGGACCTCTTTGACTCATCTGACTGAAAGTGCTTGACCTGGACATTTATATACCGCTGGACACTGGATTACTGGTGTGGTCAACATAACATCCGAGGAACGTCGCTGTAGCTACAGAGTTCCGTGCGAATGGCGACATAGGCGGACAGTTTCTTATCAGCTGTCCGACCTGGTGGCAGAGCACTTATGGTTTATAACCGTGTGCAATGACGCTGGTTCACATCTCCCGATTTTACCTTTACCTTTACATCGCCAATGGCTTGACTTGGCATGATTTTATCTGGTTCCTTATTTAGACTAAGGTGAACAGGGAGGCAAAGTCAATTTGTAAACAAGAAATATGCTTCGATTGATTTGGTGTCAACATCTTCGGCCCAGTAGTTAGCGAACTCTAGCCACTGCGCTAGATAGACGGATGTTCAATTCAAAATTGTGTTCATAAACGTTTAATTCCTTAAGGGAAATATATAAAATCGAACATAAGTAAATCAACGAGCTTCACTATATAACAAACAAAACGTGGTTGTTGCGGCTATAGAACCTTCTTCAGCCCATACATAGAATAGACAATACTACACAAATAATTCCTTACAGACTGATTGATTCATTTGCTGATTTGACCACATTTCTTGTGAGAAATAGCCAGGTTCCAGACACAAGTTAGGCTTAACATTTCGAAACCATTTACATACATTGACGAAACGGCATCAAATGGCGACAATTAATTAGGATTAAGTGACATACAGATTTAAAAGGACGACGAAATAAACAAGACACATTAACACATGCGTAAATGGTTGACAAATAAACACGGTACAATGACAAAACAAAATCAAAGGAGTTACAATTGATAAAGTTACAAAACATTACTTACAAGACTACAACAGAAACTTCATCGTTTCCCAAATAGAAATGAACAATCGCTAGGTTAACACACTTGGTAGTAACATTAAGAACATTGTAGGCGATGTTTGGTTTCACCACGGCATGGTTATAGAGTTTTGCGTTGTTGTTGTTCTTGTTGTTTTCCTCTGTCAGTTTCCCCGTGAAATGGTGTGGTCCACCATGGTCGCAATCTATTTCTCCCTGTCCTCCCTTCCATGGTGTGTTGAGTTTTGCGTCTGGTTTCTTGTCAGTGCAGAACGTGCGTCAACCAGAAATTCCAGCGATCTTGGCTGTAAATGTGCACTGACAGTGTGCAATGTTTTCATGGATTCTTAGTGACTCTATCATCATCAGGTGCATTGCCGACTGGCGTGGGCGATCATGCCTCTCCATAATCTGCGATCTCCTGCAGCATGTATCAGTTCGTGTGCCGACACACCTCCATGCCATGCAACAAGACTGTCAAGCATCTTCTCTCGTTGTCTTATGAATATGCTTTAAAAATCCAAGCTGGCTTTATCAGGCAAGAATGGATTGAAACACCAAGCACTTCACGAATATCTGCCCTAACCTTCACCTTTGTGCCAGGTCATGCGGGTGTCCTCTTAAACAAGGAAACGAGCGTGCAGACTATCTTGCTGACACTGCAGTTGCTATGGCTGGTCCAGTACTGGACAGAAGTGATGCTATCAATGCCATGCGCTGCACTTACCGTACAGATGAGCACGCCAAAGGACATGACTCCGTATCCCTGTCTAGACTGATAGATATAGGGGTGCAGCCTGGAGCTGCAAGAAATGAACATTTCACTAAGGGGACAAGACGTTTCATTAGCCAACACAAAACAGGCGTCATCAGTTGTTTTACACTTGTGGAGCATTTAAGGAGGAGATCGGAGCACCAATGGATTTGTCTAGAGTGCTGGGATGATAATCCGTTTTATTCACTGATCACTAATGTTTTCATGGCAGAAAAAAATTCATCCAAATTTTCATTCGTGGCCCACCCAGTGATCTCTCTAGTCTGCTACATGAATGTCTGGCGCTTGTATTTCTCACCTACCCTGAGAGCTATGCCGGCGCTAGCTACCAGCAGAGTCTCCTAAGCCTGACAGGTCGAAGTGTAGAGAACAGACAAAGAAAGACACCCTGGTTCTCCGAGTTGAGGACTCAAACTTTTTGTCGCGAAACAGATTTCGAATCGATTTAAACGAAAAGCGAAACTGGAACGTTGAAGCTTTGAGAGAATATCAGATGACAGAGAGGTGAAAACTATTTACTGGGGGAAGCTGAATGGTCGTAGACCCCGAGGCAGATCAAGAAGACGATGGAGATATAATTTCCAGACAGACCTGCAAACACTTGGTGTCACTAACCGGAAAGAGAAGGCTAGCCAGAGAGATTAGGAGGCGGGAGATATCTGCAACAAAAAGCTTTAAGGGCTCAGAATGCTAAAGAAAAAGAAGAAGAAAAAAGCATATAAGTGGCCACCCCCTAGTTCATTAACATCGTGGTATGGGACCCTATATTTTCTTCTTTTCTTCCCAATGCTTTTTGATTTTGCTATGTTTATGTAACTGTATTTTTGTTTTATGTTTGTTGGGACTTACACATTATTAGAACAATTACTAAAATATTTTCGAGGCAGTACTCCTCTCCACCGCCTTAGTATTTTGGCTATGAGTCTTCGCTGCATTAGGGGGGGGGGGGGAATTGGCGTGAGGGGGACTCACTGTACCTGAGCCCACAAGTTCTGGTACCCAATCAGGACATCTGGTACACTCCATAAATCAACAAACAACCAAATGAAATGACAGCGTTTATTCTTCAGTTCTTTCCCCAGAACCCAAAGGTAATACCACGTTCAATTTACTAATCATCGACCGACAAGTACTGAAACATCCGTCATCTATAAAGGAACAATAGTAGGACCGCAGCTAAATTCTTCACACTGAACCAGGGCAATGTGAGGTTAACTGCCTAAATGCATTTCACTAGAATGATCTCCTATCAGTTAGCTGTTTAACTGATGTGACTTATTTGCAGACGTTTGCACTCCGACTTTTAAGGAAATATTTATACTCAGTCAACTTGTTTACTATACTTGTTAGGGGCAGTTGGCTTATACCCCCCCCCCTCCCCCGCACACACACATACACACACAAATTAAAATCTAAAATCATGTCCCAGAGCCCAAAGAGGGAATGCAAAATTAATGCAGAAAAGAATAGACCGGGGACAACAGAGATCATTTATAAATTCCCTGTGTCAAGAAGGACATAAAGAGAATATTGACAGATAGATTAGGGACAATCCGGGTTCAATCCTCAGCTGAGGATTGCCTATTTATGCCGATCAGAACCCTTCTGTGATAAATCACGATTCATCAAAAATGAAAACGGGAAAACTTTCAGACCAGCCTAGATATAATGTTAAGAAGTCAAGTCCACGGAGAAAGGGACCATCGATCCGGCTTGCATGTAGAGCTCTAGAAGATATGAAGACTGACCGCTTCTTAACCCAAAATCAATCACTGCCGTAACACGATAATAACAGACACGCAGGCACTGACAAACTTTTCACACCATTTTCACACGCTTTTCACACACTTTTCACACGCTTTTCCCACACTTTTCACAGACTTTTCACACAAGGGTACATTCAACTTTCTGTACACCCTTAATATTACAGTGGAGTTTTCAATCAACAAATTAAGTTTTTGTTACCATAGGTTAGTACTTACTAACATTGTGTTTTAATGTAAACAGTTCTTAGGATGTGTAGCATAAACATAATAGTTCCTTGCTTAAATTAACTCTTTTAGGCACATTATTGTCACCATTGACTCCATAACTCTTCTGTAATACAATAATGTTACCACTGACCCCATAATTCTTCTGTATCCCATCAATGTCACCACTGACCCCATAACTCCTATATACCACATCAATGTCACCACTGACCCCACAACTCCTATATACCACATCAATGTCACCACTGACCCCATAACTCCTATATACCACATCAATGTCACCACTGACCCCACAACTCCTATATACCACATCAATGTCACCACTGACCCCACAACTCCTATATACCACATCAACGTCACCACTGACCCCACAACTCCTATATACCACATCAATGTCACCACTGACCCCACAACTCCTATATACCACATCAATGTCACCACTGACCTCACAACTCCTATATACCACATCAATGTCACCACTGACCCCACAACTCCTATATACCACATCAATGTCACCACTGAAGCCACAACTCCTATATACCACATCAATGTCACCACTGACCCCATAACTCCTATATACCACATCAATGTCACCACTGACCCCACAACTCCTTTATACCACATCAATGTCACCACTGAAGCCACAACTCCTATATACCACATCAATGTCACCACTGACCCCATAACTCCTATATACCACATCAATGTCACCACTGAAGCCACAACTCCTATATACCACATCAATGTCACCACTGATTCCATAACTCCTATATACCACATCAATGTCACCACTGAGCCCATAACTCCTATATACCACATTATTGTCACCACGACCCCATAACTCCTATATACCACATCAATGTCACCACTGACCCCATAACTCCTATATACCACATCAATGTCACCACTGACCCCATAACTCCTATATACCACATCAATCTCACCACTGACCCCACAACTCCTATATGCCTCATCAATGTCACCACTGACCCCATAACTCCTATATACCACATCAATGTCACCACTGACCCCATAACTCCTATATACCACATCAATGTCACCACTTGCCCCACAACTCCTATATACCACATCAATGTCACCACTGACCCCATAACTCCTATATACCACTATATACCACATCAATGTCATCACTGACCCCACAACTCCTATATACCACATCAATGTCACCACTGAAGCCACAACTCCTATATACCACATCAATGTCACCACTGACCCCATAACTCCTATATACCACATCAATGTCACCACTGACCCCATAACTCCTATATACCACATCAATGTCACCACTGACCCCATAACTCCTATATACCACATCAATGTCACCACTGACCCCACAACTCCTATATACCACATCAATGTCACCACTTACCCCACAACTCCTATATACCACATCAATGTCACCACTGACCCCATAACTCCTATATACCACATCAATGTCACCACTGACCCCACAACTCCTATATACTTCATCAATGTCACCACTGACCCCACAACTCCTATATACCACATCAATGTCACCACTGACCCCACAACTCCTATATACCACATCAATGTCACCACTGACCCCATAACTCTTATATACTACATCAATGTCACCACTGACCCCACAACTCCTATATACCACATCATTGTCACCACTGACCCCAACAACTCCTATATACCACATCAATGTCACCACTGACCCCATAACTCTTATATTTTACATCAATGTCACCACTGACCCCATAACTCTTATATTTTACATCAATGTCACCACTGACCCCATAACTCTTATATTTTACATCAATGTCACCACTGACCCCATAACTCTTATATTTTACATCAATGTCACCACTGACCCCATAACTCTTATATTTTACATCAATGTCACCACTGACCCCATAACTCTTATATTTTACATCAATGTCACCACTGACCCCATAACTCTTATATTTTACATCAATGTCACCACTGACCCCATAACTCTTATATTTTACATCAATGTCACCACTGACCCCATAACTCTTATATTTTAAATCAATGTCACCACTGACCCCATAACTCTTATATTTTACATCAATGTCACCACTGACCCCATAACTCTTATATTTTACATCAATGTCACCACTGACCCCATAACTCCTATATTTTACATCAATGTCACCACTGACCCCATAACTCTTATATTTTACATCAATGTCACCACTGACCCTATAACTCTTATATTTTACATCAATGTCACAGATGATTCAATACCCCTTCTGTGTCACACAATAATCATGTTATAATCTAGCATTTGACATGATGAATTAGCATACTTTGGCACACAAGAGTTACAACTGCTGAAAGTGGTACCGTTCAACTGAGACCCGTCTAGGGAGGCTGCGTGGTCTCGAGGCATGGTGTCCGCCTCAAGTGCTAGAGGGTCCGGGTTCAATCCTTGGAGAGAGCTGGGATTTTTTCACGTGGACTTAGACTTCTAGTAATTCCCCCTGGTCTCTGGGTAGTGAGACCTGACGCCCGTGTGCAATGTTACGCACGTAAAAAATCCATTGGCAGTTGGAAATCGAAAAGGGTAGCCTAACTGATCGGCCGGGCAAAATGTGGAGTTAAAAAAAAAATCTACGCAAAATATTTCAGGATCCTCGCTGGTGCTACAGAGCCTGTGCTGAGCTTCTTCAGACTCAGACTTGAGTTAGAAGGAGAACGGAACACTTATGGGTTACTACCCGTGTGCCATGATGTTAATCCAGTTGTTCAAACCTCAAGAATCCCGTGTGTCTATACTGCCGCACATCATTAATACAAGACACAGAGCAGAGGCGCTGATACAAAGAAAACATTGTGGGTGGTAGGGAGGCGTCTAGGGCCTTAATAATTTTAGGGCTCGGTGGAGGGGGTGGTAAGCCTGGTTAAAATGTGCAATTTTATTATCATTATTATTTTTCTAATGTTTTGGGGGCCCAAAGTACCTATCAGGTTGGGGCACCTCTGACTCAGTCTGGTCATACAGCTAACCAGCTATTGGTACACACGTTAATGGAATCAGTAATTTCTCCCAGAACTTCAAGCATCACATTCAGATATCTCGTCGACAATTTCGTCAGGCGGCCGAAGCTCTACTTGAAAATTATGACTTTTTCCATCAGCTTTCAGTTTCTTGGCGTAGACGTTGAAGGCCGCTCCTAGAGATAGAGCCATCTTGCGTCCGCTATGAGGGGAGTCGCAGAAGAAAGCATGACAAGTAGCTGAGCGCATCTGCCAGGAGAGGGACCGGACAACGATGCAGGTAAACACTTTCCAGTACTTGATGTCCTGAACGCCATAGGAGATGAAGTCGATAGGCATGAGGCCTAGTGGAGCAGTGCCTTTTTCCTTGTTGCTTTGGTGCTCCCGGAGTTCCAAGCCTTTCTCGGAGACGACAACGTAGAGAAGTGGCAGTCTTACCTGACAGGTGAAAGAATATTAACCATTAAAATTATAACAAAAATAATAGCAATGATGGTGAAGATGTAGTAGTTGTAGCAGAAGCAGTAGTGGTAGTACTAGTGTAGTATAGTAGTAGTCATAGTAACAGTAGTAGTGCTTATAGTGGTGGTAGTAGTAGTGGTGGTGGTGGTGATGGCGGCAGTAGTAGTGATGGGTGCGGTAATAGTAGTGGTGGGGATGGTAAAGGCCGCAGTAGTAGTGGTGGGGATGGTGAAGTGGTGGTATTAGTAGTATTGGTGGTGGTGATGATTGTGTGATGGTACTAGTAGTCGTGGTGAAGGTGGTTGTCGTGGTGGTTGTAGTAGTAGTGACTGTAGTCGTGGTAGTAGTAGTGGTGGTAATGGTGGTTGTGGTGAAGGTTGTAGTAGTCGTGGTGGTAATGCTGGTAGTAGCAGTAGTTGTCAAGACACAGACGATGACTAAGATGACTATGTTGACAGCGATATTGACTTTAGATAATACTTTTAATAAGGCGACAAAAGTGATGAAGAAAAGAATGAATTCATTCACTTCAAATGTCGGTACTTAATTTATAACTTACCCCTGACGTCACGACAACGTCACGGGAGCATTCCCAATAAATTCGAGGGTGTTCAGGTTGTAGTTTCTCGCGATTTATCTACAGCCAAGTTTAGGGTTAGGGTTAGGGTGAGCATTAGAAGACACTAGATGAACACTCAAAAAAGCACCACACAACAGCACACTTCCACTCCTTGAAATAATGGACTGTCAGGTAAGCTGTGGATTTCCCACGGGGATTTCGTGTTTTGGGTACGTTATAAATCAAGAACCCAAATGTCAACTTACTTCTTCCTTGGCGTCAAACTTAGCTCTAACTTGCTGCACCATCTCGTCCACAGGTTTGCGGATATGCTGCAGCCCGCTGACCCCAGGAACCTCCCGGTGACCTAGATACTTGACCACAAACACTTGAGGTAGTTTGTCCACTACAATCGTAGCGAAACTGACGTCTTTATTTAGGGATAAAGTCTTACAAAACTGTCTCTCTCTTTTTCTCTTTTCTCTTTAATGTTTAGTCAGAGGATCGTCTTCATTGCGGTGTGTTTGATCCAATATACCATAGTCTGTCTCTCTCTCTCTCTCTCTTTCTTTCTCTCTCTCTCTGTCCCTCCTTCTCTCTCTCTCTCTCTCTCTCTCTCTCTCTCTCTCTCTCTCTCTCTCTCTCTCTGCTGAATGGCTAGAGGACTACCGAGAGAGTCATTAGAATCTAGGGATCTCTGTAAAAATACAGCTTGTGAATTGTGAAACAACCCTGAACAAATACAAAACCGCACGAAAAATAGAAACAGCTTCACAATATCACAAACTTATACGACAAGCGAACGTTTTGGCTAGAGAACCTTCATCAGCAAATTAACATCAATCTACAGTACCACAAGTATGAACAAGAATACGCATTAATCATTTCACTGAAATATCTCCAATAGACGTCACATTTTTGTCCGACCAGTAGAAAATCTGACATGTGTTTGGCTACAGAAAATAAAAACTGGCCAGAGAAAGTTGCTCGGAAAGGAGCCGTAACTCAAAGACATGAAATATATCTATTAGATATTAAATCCCCTAGGCGTATTGGTGCCCAGGAGATGAATAAGACAGTTCTCGGTAGATTTTTTGACTCCGTCATTTAAGTGGCTATATTTGATGGCCGTAACCTTAAATATATAGGACATATTAGAGGTACATAACGATTAAAGTGCAAAAGCTACGACCTTTAGAAACATAATGCTTCTTTGTGTTTAGGGTCACTGGGTTTTAGGCGTGTGCTTCATTATGTTATCAATGCCAAACGTGGACACTTACATCCTTCAATGAATTTAAAATTGTGACAACAGAGATGAAATGCCTTAAAAGAGCTGCAGGAGTTTCAAGGAAAAGACAATACGAAATCATGAAATCAGACGAATGCTAGGAATAAAGCCAGTCTTACAGGTCATCAAAGAACAACAAATTAAGTGATTTGGACTCCTAACAAGACTGCCCTGGTACTATCCGCCACAGCGAGCTACACTAAAACGTTACAACGGGTATAGAGCGAGTGGAAGACCTCGGAAAATATGGAGTGATGGCATTAAGAACAGCCTTATAGAAATGAACATCAGTCTTAATAGTGCTCTTGACAGATCTCATCAACGAACATTACATCTCCCTCCGACACTTCGATGAGGTAAAAGGTGGAAGAGAAGAAAGAGAAAAAGAAGAAGAAGAAGCTTCGTAGTTTGCTTTTTGCAGAACAGCTCGCATGCTTTGGTCACCATAATGCATTTACTTCTACTTCTACTTGTGGGTAACATATCTAGGCTAGGCCGGGATGTTGCTGTCGGCAGTTTGTGAAAATACTTTTTGAAGAGGAATCGATTTTATCGCCACAGACTCGAAAGGCAAGGACCGTTTTAGTACGGTTGATCTTAATGCAATGTGAGTTATATCGGAGATATGTCAGTTAAGTGATTTCGTATGTACTGTTTCAAACTTATTGTTATTGTAGATTTATGTAATGCGCTTATGACAATATAGTATCCAAGAAAGGTGGCTGGATAAACATACAAAATTCTCTCCCCAAGACTCGCTTGATCGCCTCTCTAGAGAGGGAAGTGTATAATATTCAGACTAAGGACTGAGCACAACAAACTTCGTCAACATATGTTCAAATTTTTCGGTGTAGAAAACACGAAGACGTGTCCCTGCAGCGTGGCACCCGAAAATGATGAGCATGTGATCCAACACTGTCAACTGTATGCTGCCAATAGAGACCCGCCCAATCTGGCCTGTTCCAACCACAATGGAGACAAGGTTGTATAGTTCAGGAGAAGATATGGACTTCACCATAGCTTTCACAAAGACCTCCTGATGTAAGTTTTCTGAGAGAAGGATCGAAGAAGAAGAAGACTAATACCTTGAGACCCCACAACATAAAAGCACACAGGGCAAGCAAGCGAACCCTAGCTCGGATACCAGTCATCTATGAAACCTCAGAGCATAGCGGCACAAAGAAGAATATGGACAAAGGAAACTCGAATACTTAAAAACAAACAGATAACTGGTTTGTAACTTGTAAATAGTTTGTAAATGGTCTGTTATTGTAGATGGTTACTGGTTTGTAATTGGTAAATAGTTAATTGAAAGGTTATGGTATACAAATGGTAAATAGTTTTTAAATGGTTTTCTTCTTCGTCTTTGATCGATGCATAGTTACCGATTGTAGTCGAGTGTCTTAATTTTCTGTCACAGTCTTGCGTTTCCCTAGAGGCTTGGGTGAGTGTTCAGTTTTTGCAACATGCATCTACACCGTCTGTCCGTCTGTTCCACGGTCTTCCTCTCGTCTTCCAAAGATATTCTTCTCTAAAATGGTCAAAGATTTGTAAATAGTTGCATTTAAATGTAACAGGATTAAACTTTTAGAGAGAAGAGAGAATACACCCATAGCTCACAATAAGGCCCGTGGTAACAATTAACTGATTAAATAATTGTTGGACCAAAATATCACAGTTTATTAAATACAACATTTGAAGTCTGATAGGACAATAAGAAAAAACAGTTTAAACAGTAAATACTCATAGCTAGACATTGGTGTATGAAAGCGCCATTATTGACAAATGTTAATGAAATATCAGGTGTGACTACACACCACAAATAAATGGAAACCATATAAGACAGCCAAGGTACCTTCCTTCATATAGCAGGCCTCCGGGCAGCTGAAAAAGCATCAAGTTTGGAATTTTTGTTGGACAACTGGATTAGGAAAAAATGGTAATGCTTGACAAGTGGTCAGGGACTGCTGTGTGACCAATGGTTTCTCAAAGGTCACTGCATTCTGGCCAGCTTTGGCGGTATTTAGACACACCCCCCCCCCCCCTCCAATAATGTTTTGTTTTGGCGGGGGGGGGGGGGGGAATGTCTAGAAAGCCTCTCTCCCTTAACTTCTATCTGGAAAATTTGTAAAAGGAGATGAGGTCAAGTTGAGGCCCGACCTCCCCACCCCACCCACACCTGAATGTTAACTTCATGACGACAGCCTGAGAGGAGGAGGTGGGGGTGGGGAGTGGGGGCGGGAGTGTGGGGGGGGGGGGGGGGGGGGGGGGGGTGGGGTTCCGAGCATCTTTTGCAGTTTTCATACTGCCGTCAGAAGAACACTTTTCATTACTGGTAAGAGAGTAAACCAGTTTCACTTACTTGAAACTTGACTTTCTCTTGCTGGATTTATCGAATTTTGTCAATCTCTTGAGCAGTTTTAACGGGTTTTTACTCATCGAGGAGGCGGAAGACTCCTTTTTGCTGCCCAAACTTTCCGCATCGGAAGCAGTTTTAGAATTGTCTTTGGCCTTTTTCTTCTTGGAACCTTTCACTTCCGATTTCAGATGTGCATCCGGTTCTTCTTCTGCAGATCTCAACGAAGAGCTATCGTTAAGTGACTTTGGCTTATCCCCATTGTTAATGTTTTTCTTTGGTTTTGTACTGTCATCGCTGTTGTCTTCTAGATTCTCATCCACTTCGGGGAAACTGCTGGAATTTGAGGCAGTGTCTGAGTCTCTTGGGGTAGAATCTGAAAGATCGAGGTTCAGATCTGCATCTGGTTCAATGCTGAAATCGTTTTCAAATTTAGTTGTGATTTCTTGAAGACCAGTGTCACGCTGTATCATCCTGTCTGCCGGTGAGTCATTGCTGGGGTCTGAGACATCACCTGACTCACGGACCAACGTGGCCATGTTGGTGTCGTAGTTTAGTGGACGACGATTGACCGACCTGAGTAGGGAAGAAAAAGTGAATGCAAGATTGATGGATAGTTTAGCATTTCATGTTTATATTACCACTAGATGTCGCTTTTGATTATGATAATTTTTTATGCTGATAGCAAATGTGATGGTGGTGATGATAATAATTATGTTAATGATGATGATAGTGCTGATTATAATGACAATAACGATAATGATTATCATGAAGATTACTATTTCAATAGATAATAACAATAAAACGCAGACAAAGTATTATATGGTAATGTAACAACTATCTGATGAAAGAGAGTCGGAAGTGGATGCTGTCTTTGGACTAAACAATCAACGTGTAGTGAGTCACAGGGTACTGAAAGAATTTACATTTATATTCTCTTATTATGTTTGTTTTATAATTGCTCGATTCAGGAAGCCGACCGTATTGGGCTTACAGCGCTAAACATATACCCTATATACCTTTCCGTACTCGTTGGATGATGTGCTCAATGTGTAGTCAACATGCCAGGCGCCTTTACTTCCCAGGACTTGAACCTGGTATCCATTTACGAGTGGGTCACCTGGAACCAAGGTCATTTGTAAACATATTCAGGCTACATCAGGACCCGAACCCACGACCTTCGGATCCGCAGGCGAGCGTCTAACCGCTGCACCACGGCGGCTGCCCAGAAAGACAGAACAGCGTCAATATGTTTAGATTCTGGTTGTTCCTTCTTGTTGTTCCTTCTGGTTGTTCCTTCTGGTTGTTCCTTCTGGTTGTTCCTTCTGGTTGTTCCTCCTGGTTGGCCTCTTCATTTGTGGCAAAAGTCCAGTAGCACAAATTACTTCAGAGGTCCTGGGGAGTTAGCATCCTTTGGATATTTTCTCCTATGTCATGCTGGTGTGTTGGGAAATGAGCATGCAGATAGACTGGCCGGTTCTGCACCACTTGGTGGTGAACTGATATATGACAAGCTGGATGTTGCGAGGGCCATTTGGGAGCGAATGAACAGTGCCGAGGAACAGATGGCTCATTACGGTCTGAGGAGAATGGAATGTGAGGAGTTACAAGGAGATCTGGCTGACTCTCGACACTCAGAGGAAAGGCGAGACGGATACACAATCAGTTACTGGTACCATTAGAATTTTAACTCTTCGCTTGCTGCTGAAGATGAGGACGGGGCGCGTATGGGGGTGTCCTGTGATGTTGATTCTTAATTCAACATTCAAAAAAGCTTCTAAAGGTACACAGAATGAAAAGAGGGTCGCTGATGGAAATTTTTAAAAAGTAAATGTTTTGGTTACATTAAAAGACATACCACTCTAATAAAAGCTATACTAGAGTAACCAGTTAAAACCAATAGAACACAAGGCAAACATCGATACAGTTAGGATGATAACATTAGGAAATGGACGGAAAGCATTTGTATAGAGCGATAATGAGGGCAAAAAACAGAGAGTTTTGGAGACGTATCATTCTTCACTGTTTGGACGACACCTGACTGATATGATAGGACGTGACAAACGTGACAGAAAGGTGTGGACATAGAAGCTGTTGTGTGTGATGGGACATGGAAACTGTTGTGTGTGCGAGGACATGGAAACTGTTGTGTGTGATGGGACATGGAAACTGTTTGTGGTGTGATGGAAACTGTTGTGTGTGATGGACATGGAAACTGTTGTGTGTGATGGGACATGGAAACTGTTGTGTGTGATGGGACATGGAAACTGTTGTGTGTGATGGGACATGGAAACTGTTGTGTGTGATGGGACATGGAAAACTGTTGTGTGTGATGGGACATGGAAACATGTGATGGGACATGAAACTGTTGTGTGTGATGGGACATGGAAACTGTTGTGTGTGATGGGACATGGAAACTGTTGTGTGTGATGGGACATGGAAACTGTTGTGTGTGATGGGACATGGAAACTGTTGTGTGTGATGGGACATGGAAACTGTTGTGTGTGATGGGACATGGAAACTGTTGTGTGTGATGGGACATGGAAACTGTTGTGTGTGATGGGACATGGAAACTGTTGTGTGTGATGGGACATGGAAACTGTTGTGTGTGGGATGGGACATGGAAACTGTTGTGTGTGATGGGACTGTTGTATGGAAACATGTTGTTGTGTGATGGGACATGGAAACTGTTGTGTGTGATGGGACATGGAAAACTGTTGTGTGTGATGGGACATGGAAACTGTTGTGTGTGATGGGACATGGAAACTGTTGTGTGTGATGGGACATGGAAACTGTTGTGTGTGATGGGACATGGAAACTGTTGTGTGTGATGGGACATGGAAACTGTTGTGTGTGATGGGACATGGAAACTGTGTGTGATGTGGAAACTGTTGGTGTGATGGGAAACTGTTGTGTGTGTGTGATGGGACATGGAAACTGTTTGTGTGTTGATGGGGGACATGGAAAACTGTGTGTGTGATGGGACATGGAAACTGTTGTATGTGATATGACATGGAAACTGTTGTGTGTGATGGGACATGGAAACCTGTTGTGTGTGATGGGACATGGACACTGTTGTGTGTGATGGGACATGGAAACTGTTGCGTGTGCTGGGACATGGAAACTGTTGTGTGTGATGGGACATAGAAACCGTTGTGTGTGATGGGACATGGAAACTGTTGTATGTGATGGGACATGGAAACTGTTGTGTGTGATGGGACATGGAAACTGTTGTGTGTGATGGGACATGGAAACTGTTGTATGTGCGAGGACATGGAAACTGTTGTGTGTGTGAGGACACGGAAACTGTTGTGTGTGATGGGACATGGAAACTGTTGTGTGTGATGGGACATGGAAACTGTTGTATGTGCGAGGACATGGAAACTGTTGTATGTGCGAGGACCTGGAAATTGTTGTGTGTGCATGGGACATGGAAACTGTTGTATGTGCGAGGACCTGAAACTGTTGTATGTGATGGGACATGGAAACTGTTGTGTGTGATGGGGACATGGAAACTGTTGTGTGTGCTGGGACATGGAAACTGTTGTGTGTGATGGGACATGGAAACTGTTGTTGTGTGTGAAACTGTGTGTGCGCGAGGACATGGAAACTGTTGTGTGTGATGGGACATGGAAACTGTTGTGTGTGTGATGGGACATGGAAACTGTTGTATGTGCGAGGACCTGAAAAACTGTATGTGTGAAACTGTGATGCGAGGACCTGGAAAACTGTTGTATGTGCGAGGACATGGAACTGTGTGTGTGTGATGGGATATGGTAAACTGTTGTGTGTGCATGGACATGGAAACTGTTGTGTGTGATGGGACATGGAAACTGTTGTATGTGCGAGGACATGGAAACTGTTGTGTGTGCGAGGACATGGAAACTGTTGTGTGTGATGGGACATGGAAACTGTTGTGTGTGATGGGACATGGAAACTGTTGTATGTGCGAGGACATGGAAACTGTTGTGTGTGCGAGGACATGGAAACTGTTGTGTGTGATGGGACATGGAAACTGTTGTGTGTGATGGGACATGGAAACTGTTGTATGTGCGAGGACATGGAAACTGTTGTATGTGCGAGGACCTGGAAATTGTTGTATGTGCAAGGACATGGAAACTGTCGTGTGTGATGGGACATGGAAATTGTTGTGTGTGATGGGACATGGAAACTGTTGTGTGTGATGGGACATGGAAACTGTTGTATGTGCGAGGACATGAAAACTGTTGTATGTGATGGGACATGGAAACTGTTGTGTGTGATGGGATATGGAAACTGTTGTGTGTGATGGGACATGGAAACTATTGTGTGTGATGGGACATGGAAACTGTTGTGTGTGATGGGACATGGAAACTGTTGTGTGTGATGGGACATGGAAACTGTTGTGTGTGATGGGACATGGAAACTGTTGTGTGTGATGGGACTGGAAACTGTTGTGTGTGATGGGACATGAAACTGTTGTGTGTGATGGGACATGGAAAACTGTTGCGTGTGATGGGACATGGAAACTGTTTGCTGTGATTGGGACATGGAAACTGTTGTGTGTGATGGACATGGAAACTGTTGTGTGTGATGGGACATGGAAACTGTTGTGTGTGATGGGACATGGAAACTGTTGTATGTGATGGGACATGGAAACTGTTGTGTGTAATGGGACATGGAAACCCGTTGTGTGTGATGGGACATGGAAACTGTTGTGTGTGATGGGACATGGAAACTGTTGCGTGTGCTGGGACATGGAAACTGTTGTGTGTGATGGGACATGGAAACTGTTGTGTGTGATGGGACATGGAAACCGTTGTGTGTGATGGGACATGGAAACTGTTGTATGTGATGGGACATGGAAACTGTTGTGTGTGATGGGACATGGAAACTGTTGTGTGTGATGGGACATGGAAACTGTTGTATGTGCGAGGACATGGAAACTGTTGTGTGTGCGAGGACACGGAAACTGTTGTGTGTGATGGGACATGGAAACTGTTGTATGTGCGAGGACATGGAAACTGTTGTATGTGCGAGGACCTGGAAATTGTTGTATGTGCAAGGACATGGAAACTGTTGTATGTGCGAGGACCTGGAAACTGTTGTATGTGCGAGGACATGGAAACTGTTGTGTGTGATGGGACATGGAAACTGTTGTGTGTGCTGGGACATGGAAACTGTTGTGTGTGATGGGACATGGAAACTGTTGTATGTGCGAGGACATGGAAACTGTTGTGTGTGCGAGGACATGGAAGCTGTTGTGTGTGATGGGACATGGAAACTGTTGTGTGTGATGGGACATGGAAACTGTTGTATGTGCGAGGACCTGGAAACTGTTGTATGTGCGAGGACATGGAAACTGTTGTATGTGCGAGGACCTGGAAACTGTTGTATGTGCGAGGACATGGAAACTGTTGTATGTGCGAGGACATGGAAACTGTTGTGTGTGCTGGGACATTTAAACTGTTGTGTGTGCGAGGACATGGAAACTGTTGTGTGTGCTGGGACATTTAAACTGTTGTGTGTGATGGGACATGGAAACTGTTGTATGTGCGAG